TCCATCCATCCATCCATCCATCCATCCATCCATCCATCCATCCATCCATCCAGGTCTGTCTGTCTGTCTGTCTGTCTGCCTATCAATTGTGGATATCATTCATCAGCGTGAAGCCAAAGCAGACCGAACCAAAAGGCTTTGGGGTCATTTTGGCCCAGTGCCAAGCAAAACAACCCCCCCCTCAAATGAAACAGGGGACATACCTCAAGAAGGCCTCTTAAAAGGGAAGGGTGGGCCATTTATTTGCACAAGTGTCTTGCCTGCCGGCCCAGTTTATCACACGTAAATCTCCTTGGCGTCTCCGTTTTCCATTTTAACGAGATGCGAGCCACTTCCTAATAACAGCCGAGATTAGACAGGGAGGAACCCCGAAACCATTAACCTAAAGGAAATGTAACCATCAATTAAAGGTATTACGGAGGCTGTGCTACAAGCTCAACATTCGTTAAGTAAATTGTACAGTTATTAAGACGCATTTCGCCATCATCATCCACGGAGCCGTTCTTGGCAACTGTTGAGCAGGGAAGGGAGAAATCTAATTCAGAGAGGAAGGCGGGAGCTGAAGATGAAGAAGAATATCGTAATACACAAAATTGTCTGCTACAACGTCCTACCTGTCAACGGCTGCGTCGGCTCCGACCGCAATTACGCACGGGCAAACGATCGATGCAAACTCAAGGGAAACCGCTCCAAACTCGATTGCAGAAAATACAACTTCAGCAACACCTGGAATGCTCTACTTCAGTGGTCTCCAACCTTGGCCACTTTAAGACCTGTGGACTTCAACTCTGGGAGTTGAAGTCCACAGGTCTTAAAGTGGCCAAGGTTGGAGACCACTGCTCTACTTGACTCGGTTGACTCCCATCTATTTGACTCTACTTGACTCTACTTGACTCCCATCTATTTGCACCCATTGCTTTCGTTCATGTCCACGTTCATATTTATCCCTGCTGTCTTGTGCATGTTTGACAAACTAATAAATAGTAAAATGAGAAGAAGAAGCCAGGAGGGTTGCCGCATTGTGCATTGCGAACTCGTCAAGCCTTTCGGCGTTTGTGTCGTTTGTGTGAGGATGCCGCCGCGGGGGAATCCGCCGAGGGAGACTTTGCTTCTTCCAGCGGATGGAGCTGCCCGCCTGGTTCCACCCAATGTCAGCTGGCTGGGATTATGGAACTGATTTGCATCTGGATGACTTGGCTTTGGGGGAAGGCAGAACGAAGAGCATAACAGACCTCTGGGCGTTGTTGTCATTCGGAGCTGAAGAAGCTTCAAAGGCCTTCCGTGCACGCACATGTTCGTGGATGTCCAGCCATGTGTACGTTCGAGCATTTCCGCACATGCATATGTTTGAGCATCTCTGTGCATGCACATGTTCATGCATGTCCACCCATGTGTACATTTGAGCATTTCTCTACATGCAGATGTTCGTGCATGTCTGTGCATGCACATGTTCATGCATGTCCATGGTCACACATGTTCATGCATGTCCACCCATGTGTACGATCGAGCATTTCGGGCACATGCATATGTCCGTGCATGTCTGTGCATGCACATGTCCACGCATGTCCACGCACATGCATGTTCATGCATGTCCACACATGTGTACGTTAGAGCATTTCCGCACATGCATATGTTCGAGCATGTCTGCGTGTACATGTTCATGCATGCCCATGCACACACATGTTCATGCATGTCCACACATGTGTACTTTTGAGCATTTCCACACATGCAGATGTCCGTGCATGTCTGTACACGCACATGTTCATGCATGTCCACACATGTGTATGTTCGAGCATTTCCACACATGCAGATGTTTGTGCATGTCTGTGCACACACATGTTCATGCATGTCCATGCACACACATGTTCATGCATGTCCACCCATGTGTACATTCGAGCATTTCGGGCACATGCACATGTTCATGCATGAATGTACATGTGCATGTGCACGCATGTCCGTGTATGCATGTGTTCACACAGGCCTTTCAGTTTGGACATGTGCGCACGCAATCTGGGCCCTCGGTGTCTCAAAGGTTTGCCCTCCCTGCCCGAGAGTCTTTTCTGAGTGTGTTTTTCTTCCAAGCCCCGGAGAATCTCTTGACGCTGTTGCATTTGCATTGAATGTGTTACTCTTGTTCTGTGGAATTCCTCCAATCCCTTCTTTTCCTCCCCTCCTCATCTGGAATCCGAGAGACACCAGCAGCCTATCTGAGAGCGGGGGGGGGGGGGGAGGAGAGAAAGAGGGGCAGGGATCATCCCATTTTTCCCTTCAAAGACAGTGGGGAGTCCATGGGAAGCAGCCGTCAATGAAGACCAGCTTTTGAGGATTGAGTTCGGAGCGGTTGAATGAAAGGAAAGATTTCCTTGGTAGGGATTTTTTGGGGTGAGCAGTAATATGGAAGGAGTTTGCCACTGTCTTCTGGGGTGACTTTTTAGCTTCCTAGCCTAGCCTGACCAATTGCTTCCTCGCCCCGTTGCCCGGATTAGGGGAGAGCTTGGAAGTTGGGCTGCCGTTTAAGATTTCCCAGGTTAGATCTTGGCCACAGAACCGCGGAGGAGGGAGATCCACTGGCTTCCAAGAATTTGTTCCTTAACTAGCTAAAACCTCTTCACAAGTCTATTGATCCCCGGATCTTCCCCACTGGGTTCCCTTCGTCCAGGTGCTGCCATCTTCTGGTGGCCGAGCGCCATTGCTTTGCTTCGCAAGGTGGCTGGGAAAGTTTAGAGCAGGGTATCAAACTGGATTTCATTGAGGGCCACATCAGGATTGTGTGGTCCTTCGAGGGCTGGGGTGTGTGTGACTAAGGGAGGGTGGGCATGGTGGGCGTGACACGGGACTCATGTCGGGGGCACCTGTGGTGGCCAAGTGCTAAGGCAGGGCTTCCCACACTCCCTCTCATTATAATCTCCTTCCTTCCTTCCTTCCCTCCCTCACTCACTCCTTCCTTCCTTCTTCATTCTCCCTCCCTCCTTCCTTCCTTCTTCCTTCTCCATTCTTCTTCCTTCCCCTCTTTCTTTCTCTCTTCATTCTCCCTCCTTCCTTCCTTCTTCCTTCTCCATTCTTCTTCCTTCCCCTCTTTCTTTCTCTCTTCATTCTCCCTCCTTCCTTCCTTCTTCCTTCTCCATTCTTCTTC